TTGGGCTGCAAGTGGTACTGGTCAAAATAGTTCCTGAGGACAGTGATGTTCTCGACTTCTTGCGTAGTTGTCACTGCCTCTGCAGTGAGCAATGTTGTTGCTCCATCCAGGATGACAAAAACAATGATGTGTTCTCCTGTTCCAAGAGGAACTTGACAGTGATCAATGAATGTCATGTCACCAAAGGTGTCCGCTCGAAGTCCACTCATCTTGCTTCGTGATGGTGCATGTTTTGCCGCTTGGCAAACTTCACATTCACTTCGGATTTTGTCAAATAGATCGAATGTTGATTTCGGCAAATGAAGTGAGCGAGTTCTAAATCGAAATTGATCTGTTGTCATGTGATGATGCTGGAGGTGGAGCTTCTTCAACTCTTCGGGACTTGATAATCGCTTGTGGATTCTGCCTAGTGCAAGCGGAAGCGTCGTTGGTTCTCCTGAGGATGTTGCGAAAGGATCTGGCTCAATGGTCGACCGGCCCTTCTTGACGATGATCCTGTCTGCTGCCGATCCTGAACCTGCTTCTTCGTCCTTAAGCGAATTGTCCGCGACGGTTTGTTTGCCTGGGATGTAAGTCTCCAATTGTCTTCTAGGATGTCTGGATCTCCACCTTCGGATGCATCAATGATTTCCGTAGTACGCTCTCGGCTGATATTATCAGGATTGATTGGACATTCCTTGGCTCCATTTGGTGTGAACAACGCCTTGCGAGGCGTGATGTGCACACGGATGAGCTGCTTGTTCTTCTTATCAAGGATCCAATGGTCCTGCTTTTGAGACCCAATGATTTTAGGAGTTGTTAGGTCCTCCTTCGTCTCGGATGATTTGGATGCACAAACAGTTTCACTCTTGGAAATATCCCCGCAGGGAAACCGGATGCTGTTGTCATCATCGTAGACGTAGTTGGTGAGGCCCTTGATGGCAATTTCTCCATGTGATTTCACTCGTGCAACTCCAGCGAGGTCGACGAGTGCATGTCCTGTACCGGATACTGGAACTGCTTGACGGTTCATGCCAAAGGCCTTGCATGTGATCTTGTCGCATTTGAGGTGTGTGCTCAATGGTCATGTAGAGGTTCCGCATCTGACTGATGCTGAGGAGGATCGGTACAGTTCATTGTTCGAGGACGTCGATGTTGGCCCTGCATGGAGGAGTTGTGTGATATCGGAGCTGCAAGGTCCAATTTACCTTGGCTCTGTTTCTCCGCTTGCAAAAGTGAACTTGGTCTCGGCCGGGATGTACTGCTAGGAGATGAGGTCTTTCATGGGTTCGATGGCCTGAGTAAAACGCTGGATTGCATGCCAGCTGCCCATAGATCTGGTACATCCATTGTCCAGAATCGCATAGGTCGGATTGTGCTGAGGGTTGATGACAGGCGCCATCAGCTTGGTTGCCAAAAGGCTGTGATCTGTTGTGACGGACAGATTGTGTTCTGAAACTGCATTTGATTGGCTCAGCTTCCCGTGGATGGCCTCTTTCTCATGATGCTCATATGCGTCATGGAATGCCATTAGCGCTTGTCCTGTGCTGGATGTCTCATGGGATGAGTACCAGCCTTGTTCGTTCCATGTCCATGATTGATCCCAATTTTGGTCTGTCCAACCGGCATAGGTAGGCTCTGTGGATGGCGCAGTCTGCTGGATGGCGGGCGTCTCCTCCGTCTTCTCTGCAATGGCTGCGAACGTCTTGGATTTCCTTTGTCATGTCCGCCTTTTCCTTTGCCATTCTCATAGGGTGGATAACCCTTGTTTCCATCATATGGATATTGGGAATATTGATTTTCCTTTCTTTCCCTTGTTTCCCTTGCCTTTTCCCCAATATGCCTGGTCGTAGGGATCATAATTTTCATTGGCCCTATTGGCCTTCCCGCCAGAACCGCTTTTTCTGAAGGGTTTGAAGCCGCCTCGTTGGTGACTGCCCTTTTTGTTTTTTGATTTTCCTTTTCCTTTTCTTTTTTAATCTGAAATTCCGCCCTGACACTTTTCTTGCTATGAACGCATCGTTCTCCTCGAGGACCCAGAATGTCTCTTCATCGTTGTTTGACATGAATCCTTCAAGTCCTTCTTCATCCTCAACCCAAAAGCCTTCTTCTCCTTCGTATTCACCTTGTTCGATGATGAAGAAGGTGTTGCTTCGGTTGCCTCCTTGAGGTCGGATGGATGGATCTTGAATGGATGTCCGGGTCGTGATGAAGAGTTCATGGTAATGCGTCCAACATCTCACAGGAGTAGTTCTCTAGTGAAATGTTTCTCAGTGACGTTGCACTGGTCAGTCTTTCTCTCTGCTGATCTGACAATTCACTCTGAATAATGAAAAACTGCGCAATGAGATTATCCCCGAAGGGAAATGCGTCCCGCTGTCTGTCCTGCATTCCCGTGATATACTGTCTGAGGACTGTTGGATCACCCTCATCGAGCAGGACTGGAGGCGGTACTCGAGTACCAGCTGCTTGCTGATGTCGAGCAATTGTTCTTGCATTTGCGTCCTGTACGGACTGTCGAAATAATGGTGACTGTGCCGTGAAAACCGGCAGCCGGCATCAAGTCCATCCATGCTGCCTTCAATCTCATAAGAAGGATTTCGAATTTTGAGGTAAAAATGAGGAACTCTTGGTTCTGCCTTCTATGATTGAAGAAACTGAGGAGCCTGTACAGATACACGTTGGTCGCACCTTTCAAAAAGTACTTCTTCAGCGTGTTCTTGAAATAGTTGACTCCTTCACCAGGATCTTGCAAAAGGTCATTTTGGAGGACTGCCTTGTACATATAAGCATCTCCTGTGAGTCTGCTTTTGAGCAGAGGTCCTCTCTTGGGTGCTTCCAGCGTAGTGATTGTCACCCAGTCGTCCACGAGTTCTTCATACCTGAACCAGCTGACTTTTCCGTCGTACGATGGCGGCTGCTTGGCGGTCATCGATAAGTTGAGTCTTTCCTCTGTATAGCCGGATGGTTTGGCCATACTTGAATAGGCTTCCAGGAGGCCTTCTCCATCGGATGACATCTCCCTTGGATCTCTAACCCGCTCCGCTACCACAAATTGAGGCCCACTGCCATTTGGTCCCTGGATCTATTCCGGAGAGAGTCCGATATGCCAATATGGAGGATTGGAGGATGGATTGTCCCTGGTCTGCAAGCCTTTTTATCAATGTACCATGAGTCGAGTGACTGTACAAATGACTTGAAGGGCCTTGAGCCATCATGTAAGCGGAGTGTGTGAATAGGTCAATGTGCAACAAAAAGCAACACAGGGGGTGAGGGGGGGCAGAAGTATAGGATGATAATTCGAGGATGACGTGTCTCTTTCTTTCTTTCTTTCTTTTTTTTTGGGGGGGGAATCTGTAGAAAGCACCCCCTTAAAAGACATGTAGTATTTGCAGGCCAAACAAAATCATCCTCTTGGCAGTTCTGGGGGGCCAAGCAGCAACGTAGGCGTCTCATTCCGTTGTGCCATGGTCCTGTTTGAAACATCTCCAGCCTGTTTTTCTCTTGTTCGCCGGTTTTCTTCGCAATGAACCGAGGGTATTCCAAGGGCAGTGACCTCATGACTTTCAGGGTATTGCGCTTCGGCAATCCGCAGGTGCCTTCTTGAGAGTTGATGTTCTTGGTGGCTGATTCTAATAATTAGAAGGCAAACGGGAGCCGCCCAATTTGTAACTTGCCTTATTGGGAGGCACTGCTGGCTCCCGTGGAAATGGGTTTGTTTGTGAGACCCGTTGCTTTCAGTGGTTAGTAAATACGGAGGCAATTCAGGAAAGTCTTTCCAAAATTCTCGCACTGGCTAGAGGACTTAGGAGCTTGAGGGGGTAGGGGGGGCCTCCCCAAAGGTCCTTGGCCTGGGGTTCCTGTGAAATTTTGGACGTCTGAATTTGCAGATGTTACCCGTCATGTTTGCACCCTTGAGATATCACAAAAGCAAAAAAACACTCAGACGGATTTTTACCCCTGTAGGTGGGCATCTAAGGTGTGGTTGGGCCCTTAGACTCCAGTCAACATGGCCGCGCTTTCGAAGGATATTGACATCCCTTTGATTCCAATGGCTACCCATTTTCCTCACCCTCCCCCTGAAGGTAGGCAGATTCTATGGTTTTTGTTCTTTTGTTGGTTTCGCAACGCCTTTGGCACCTCAAGGCACGGAATTCCATGTTTAGGGTATTGGGCGCATGTTTGGCCACCTGAAAGGTCACAGGCTTAAAAAAAATCCGGAGGCGAAAGTGTTTCCCCTGGCTTTTATGGTCACAAACCCACTTGTTTTGCATAGTTGCAGTTAAATTGCTCGAAAATCTGAACCACCAAGCTGCAGCCAACGATCACGGCTGAAATCCTGCTCAATGGGAAGCCGATGCCTCCAAACAAGCTATGCATGTAGCGAAACACATGAGAGTGAAACTGGGTTGTGATATAGTCTTGCAGTGATTGCCACCCTTTGCCCATACATTGTCCGCACTATGAAGCAAGCGGGTCGTTTGCATGCTCTCCTCACAGAGACTCTTCTAGCAAACTCATGTTTGGGATGGACATTGGTGGCTGTCCAGACGCCTTTTACCAGCATCTGCAACCAACATTTGTTCATTGGCCATGCATCAACCTGCGTGCATTGGCACTGTGTGTTGGTGTGCGTGCAAGCTTTTCATAACGACGCTAACATCCCTCCCCCCCACCCCCCTCCCCCACCCACCCTCCTCCCCCGCTCACAACTGCAACTCGACACATCACAGCCGAAAAGCACCAAACGTACGAGGTTTTTTACCAGCCTGTTTCCACCTAAAAGTGTAGGTTGCCTCCTGGCGGCACGCTGGGTGCCAAAGAAGCTTATAGCTGTTAACCTTTCCTAAGAAGGACTGGGAAGGATTCCCTCTGAAAATTGCTCTACCAGGTGTTTGTTCAATCAACTTCCCATGATTTACCCTCCCTCCCTTCGAAACTTTTTGAAGATTTGTTCCTTTTGACCTGCACTGAGGGTCGCCACACCAAGCTTCCAAGACACTCTCCAAGCAAATCCGGAGGTGGTCTCCCGTCACGCCTACTGCCGCCTCTGCGAGATGCGCTCGAAAGGCACACGTGGCGGGGCAGATCGCAGAGCGTACCCTTCCACAAACAAATGTGGAAGCGTTTTGGAAGACTACTTTCCTTTTGGAAGAGCGAGTGCACTTCCATGTTTACTGGGAGCCACTTCCAAACTAGGCTTTGTCCCACCCGCCAGAGATTGTCATAGTGTAGGTGAACATTGATGTATTCTGATTGGCGTCTGGTAGGTGCCATGGGCCACCAAAGTCTTTGTACCTGGGTGAACGCGGATCTGCTGGCATCTATGCGTTCTGCTTACAAATGCTAGGGAAACCACACCTTGCCCTGCCGGTTCTGGCACCACAAGCTCGTTTGCACGAAAGGTTGTGGCGCATTGCCATGGGGTCTGTTGCCACTGCCTCCAGTTCTCGTTGGACTTCCATATGCGGACGGACCAAATCATTTCGCGCCCCGGGTGAGGATCGCCCTTAACTGTTTCACCCTTGCTCTTTTGGATTCTCGCCCTTTCCTTTTCCCCAGCGAACAAAGTTGTGCTACCTGGGAGTCAGTCCAGGGGCTTCCGGCTGGTCGACCGGCGCGTGATTTTTCGGGCCAGGTGCCGTGCGTGGCATGGTGGACTGGGTTCAGAGCTGGGTGGCCCGGACGGATCAACGAACCGGCGCCAAGGTGTAACATATGTCATATGTTCAACGTTTTTGGGACGGACCTTTCAGGGTGGAGTCCCCAACCCTGGCAGTAACACACCTTTTTTGCACAGGCGGGTTTCTGAATGGTTGTCAGCCCCCCCCCCCCCCCCGCCACCAAAAAAGAGGAACAAAAAGGGAGCCGGTTTTGGGTTGGTTTTTACCGTTTAACACACACACACACCGATGCCCATCAACTGCCGGAGGTTTCGATAGAAAAACAATCACTGCCCATGGCGGTCAAACTCCGCAGGATCGCAGACCCCCAGTTTACGGCAACCTCACCCCCTTGAGTTCCTGAACTTTATTTTGGGCACTGGCGACCAACAAGTTTTAAGTGGTGTTGGCCTATTGAGTTGGTACCCTCCGCAAACCGCTGTCATTTCAAATGGCGCTGCAAGCCACCAGCCATTTTTTCTCGGTAGGGAAGGATGTGTTGACCAGGAACTAATGGGATTCTTGCAGGAACTGGTCGGGTTCATTCGCATATTCCCTGCCTGTTTCGACGAGGCAGGTTCAGGTTCCCAAGAGCCGATGTATCGGCGTGTAACTTCCCCATGGTTTCTTTGGACCTTTGATCCTGTACTGTCAGGTAACCCTTGGTGGTTTGGACTGGCTTGGTGGAATTGAACCCCTAGAGGGTAAGTGGGAAACCATTCCAGAAATCCAAGCCACCGGTTCGGCTACCAATTAGAGGGAAGCTGACACTTGGCTCAAGTGCGGTCCTTATCATGAAACAATGTCTGGAAAAGACCACACCTAAAACAGATGACCGAGCTAAAGTGGACATGTGATTTTGAATTCGCCGGCTACTTTCACCCAAGTTTAACTTCCCTATTTTTCTAACGATTTGAACCTGGTTCCGGAGGGTGAATGGGACACCACCCCTGACCTCCACCCAAACCACAAATTAGAGGGAAGCTGAAGGCTGTTCCGGAAGGGCGGCTACTGGGCATGACACCTGACCTCATTTTGAAAGCAAAAGGCTGGGGTCAAAATCAATGCCAAAGCTGGAAGCCAGATGATCGGCTGACATTATGACCCACTAGAAGGGCCCCCCGTTCAGTGGAGCTCACCCTGTCACTAGCGGGTTGCAACTTAAAACGTAAGTGGCGGTTGGCACTGACTAACTTGGCAACCAACACCCAAGTATGGGCCTTTGTTGGAGGTACCCCAGAAAAAAGTTTATCCCACTTCACCCCTACACCCCTCTTTTAAACCCAACGTATCAGGTAACTTTACATTGGTGGTTTGGTCAGAATTTGAACCTCTGGTTCTTGTGGGTAAGTGGGAAGCCGCCCCCGAACCAATCCAAGCACCGGGCTCCAAACCACCAATTGAAAAAAACTGAAAAAAGAGGTTTATCCCACTTCCCTTTGTTGGAAGTGCCCCCAACACCCCCCCAAACCCCCTGGCCCGTACCCGACAAACCCCTCCACCTCCCTACTTCACCCCCATACGCCTCTTTTAAAGTATATAAGCTGTCACCCAAAGGTTCCCGTTCAGTTAACACTGCCCGTAGCGTTTTTTCCTCGGCGGTTGCCCATTCAGTTAACCCTGCCACTAAGCGTTTTCGGGCGGTTGCCAGTGACGAGTTCAGACCCAAGCGCCCCTTGTCCATGGCTTTGGATCGGCTTCGAGGTACGGAGCTGCACGAGCTGGCGGCCGCCAGCTTCCGGCCTCGCGAGCTTCGGGGAGGTGGGGAAGGGGAGCTTGGGCGGTTGGGGGGATGGATCGCTTCCCAGTTGCAGGTGTGGAAGAAGTTTGGTGATAATGAAGCTTGTTTTTCGCAAAAAAGTTGGCTTTTGGCCGATATAGGGGCAGAGGCGGTGAAGCCCCGCAAACCCCCTCCCCGCGGGAAAGACTAAAAGAGAACAATTTTGGAGGTGTGCTTGGGGGGTGGGGTGGTGTGCTTGAAGGGGGTCTCAGCGAAGCTCTTACTTGAATGTTCGGGCATTTTTCGAAGCGAGAGTCGGGTGCCTCCCTGAAAATGTCCCATGATCTCTCTGGCTGCCAGACGGCATGGTTGTCAGCTCAAAATGATGTTCATTTTTGGCTGCTTAAAGGTGGGACATATATATATATATACACGCATATGCAACTATGCATAAATACATATTGTACATACAGACATATATATATATATATATATGTATATATATATATATATACATGCATATTCGCATATACGTGCGTCGTTCGGTCGAGGGAACCCTATGAGGTATGCCTTAGAAACAGGCATGCAAAACACCAATGACTCACTTTGACCCTTGGGTGGTGGCCTATTTCAGGGTCCATAGATCTTAAAGGATGCAGTTGGGCCATGTTCATAAGAAAGATACGGTGGATGCCCTAAATACTGCAAAGGGAACAAAGGAACCCTCGAATTGTCCGTAATTTGCCCGTGGTTTCGTGGTTGAGAATGGTTGGTTTGCAACTTTGCCAAGTTAACCTTAACCAGCTGATGTAGAGGGATGACCCCATGAAAAGCATGTGGTTTCTGATATGTTCTTTATAGGAACGCTGGCACTGAAGCCATGCAGACGGGAAGACCATCGAACTCCCGAACCGAGACACGTTGAGAATGCGTTCCACTAATGGTTTCCATGCTACACACATGAGCACCCTTTACTGCAAGCGATCGGAACTTGTTTTAATTGGAACCCGTTTGGGCGCTTTCGAGATTACCCGCTGGGGGTAAAGCAGGTTCAAAGCGAAGCTCTGAAACTTTGGACTCTGCTCCTGCCCATTGACGGTGGATGATGATCATTTGGATGGCCGCCGTAAAACGATCTTCCAAACTGTGGTGACTTTGAGAGTTTGGGGGGCATCCAAGGAAAGACATTCGTTCACCCTTTGTTTGCAGTCTTTGACTCAGTCCATCAGCTTGTTTTTCTCTCAGATGATGGCATTGTCGGGAGATCCCAAAAGACGCGGTCACGGCCTCGCGAGCGCACGTGGTTTTCGGCTCGCAGGCGCACGTAAATTTGGTCTCGCCCGCGCATGTCGAGGGCTGGATTTCGTGGTAGGTGCGGTACTTTGGGCAAGTTACGGCAAGTTTTTCGTGGGTCTCGCCGGCGCATGTGATACCGCGCGTGTCCCCCAAAAAGGCAAAGCGCGTGAGCCTCGCACGCGCATGTAAGCAAAACCGCACTAGTAGCGTACGCGCGTGCAAGCCTTTCATCCATGCGTGATCCCATCCAGGGATGCACGGGGCGGTTGCGTCTTGCACTCGGCCTCGTGCTTCTTCTTCATGTCGCTGGCTTTTCTGCGTGCTTTGCAAAGGAAGCGGCCACAGGGACGCTCTACGTGCGTAGTGTCGCGCGCGCTTGGAAGTGAGCGGCTAGAGGGACGCTCTTCGAAGGTCAGCACGAGGCGACCGCACGTTCTTACCACACGAGTCGCGACACGCAGGCGTAGCGCAGCTCAAGCACCCAGAGCCTCCACATAGCAGCCCTGGCTGGGGTCAAAGTACGCTTTTGCCAAAGGGATTGCAGGAGCTGCCTGGAGATCCTCTTCCTCCGAGTCTTTCACAACCAAAACATCTGAATCTGAGTCCACCTGCTCTGCCTCTCCCACGTCAGAGGCCTCTAAAGCTGCCTCATCGTCAGCTGATGCATTAATGGCAGTGGCTGGAAGACCATACATGCTGAAAACATCGCACGAAGCTGTAGCCTTCCTTTTGAATCGGTATCTTCTGCTTGGCTTGAAGGCTGCGGCGTCACCTGCAGGAAGAGCCTGTGCTGCACCAGGTGTCTCGACGGGCTCGCGTTCTTTCATGGGCTCCATGGCTTTCTGTGGAGTGCCTTGCCCTGTAAGCTGCTTGAGCTTTGACACAAGCCTCCACACACTGGGCGTGAGCTTCTTCCCGGAACTGCTGGGCTGCAGCTTGCTCCTCAAATGCTTGAAGCAAGCAGATTTGTCCCTTGCCACTGCGCGAGCATCCTTGCCGCTGACGTCATAAGATCTGACCAAGCCGTCCCTCAGCACAGACTCTGAAGGCCGAACTGTCTCATCCATGATGTCTGCCAGCAAGCCCTCATACTGTGCTATAACATCCTCCACATCCTTTCTGAAAGCGGCCGGGTCCAGGTCTTTGAAGTGAGATCTGAAGCACTTCACCAAGTCTTTGGCACTAGCCGTGTTTCTGGCTCGAGGAGGCGGCATGTTTGCAGCCATGCAAGGGCTCGGTCCACAACTGCGTCTGCACGCAGGCACATGCACGCCACTGCACATACTCAAAAAACACGCTTGAAAAAAAAGAAAAAACAACAAATGTACCCGCGCCAAAAAAAACAACACGCCCATTCGTTCACAAGTAAAAAAACCTTTGACGTTCATCAAAACAAAGATCAGCGTTCAATTAAAATATAGCAAAATTCGAGACATGTCTGTGATATCCATGAACCCTAGAAAATCAAGCTCTCTATTTAAGCATTGTTTTTACAAAAACAAAAATGCTTAATTAAGCGAACAATGCTTAAATAACAACTACAATGCTTAATTAAGCACGAAACAATGCTTCCTAAAGCATTTTTGCTTCAAAAAACAAAAAACAATGTTTAATTAAGGGAAAACACTTAATTAAGCATTCACTTTAAGCATTGTTAGCTTAATTAGATATTGTTAAATTATTTAAATACTTTTGGAGGCTCTGGGCAAACGGAAGTCGCGCGCTCTGCCTGCCATGATGAGTGACCTCAACACGGCGGCTCCGATCACGTCCGAGGACATCGCGCGTATGCAGGAGCTTAGGCGCGCGGCAGAAAACGCGCAGTCCATCCTCGCGGAGGCTGTGAGCACGCCTGCGATATCAGGCGGCACGTCGATTCATGTCGCGGCGGCCGCGGCCGCATTAGAGGCAGCAGCTCGCTACTTGCGAGAAGCCGCTGACCCGCATGCGTGGATGCAGGTGCGCTTCCTCTTTCGCGTGCGTGGATGCAGTGCCGAGCGGGTGCGCTTGAGCGGGTGTGCTTACCATCCCCACCCCACCCCCCCCCCCCACCCCCCCCACCCACTCTTGCGCGTGTTTGGATGCAGTGCCGAGCGGGTGCACTTGAGCGGGTGTGCTTACCATTCCCCCCCCCCCACCCCCCCACCCCCCACCCCCACCCCCCCCACCACCCCGCATGCATGGATGCAGGTGCGCTTCCTCTTTCGCGTGTGTGGATGCAGTGCCGAGCGGGTGCACTTGAGCGGGTGCGCTTGCCCCCCACCCCCCCCCCCCCCATGCGTGGATGCAGTGCTGAGCGGGTGCGCTTGAGCAGGTGCGCTTCCTCTTTCGCGTGCGTGGATGCAGTGCTGAGCGGGTGCGCTTGAGCAGGTGCGCTTCCTCTTTCGCGTGATGCAGTGCCGAGCGGGTGCACTTGAGCGGGTGTGCTTACCATCCCCCCCCCCCCCACCCCACCCCCGCATGCGTGGATGCAGGTGCGCTTCCTCTTGCGCGTGTGTGGATGCAGTGCCGAGCGGGTGCACTTGAGCGGGTGTGCTTACCATCCCCCCCCCGCCCCCCCCCTCCCGCACACAAGGAAGCCAGTCCTTCCTGGAGCTAGATTTCGTGGCAGGCGCACTATTTTGAGTGACTTGGAGCGCTCACGTGCTCCTGTGAGACCCAAGCCGCTGCGTGCTCCGACGCTTGAAAAGCTTCGCCCGCGCGCTAAGTTGGCACGCGCATGCTTGTGAAGCGACCTGCATGAGTGCAGTTGACGCCAGGTCCCGCGTGGGTTTTGCAGCTGGATTTCGTAGCAGGCACCCTGTTTTGAGTGGTTTGGAGCGCTCACGTGCTCCTGTGAGACGACGCTTGAAAAGCTGCGCCCGCGCGCTAAATTAGCACGCGCACGCTTCTGAAGCAGCCTGCGAGAGTGCAGATGTGGGGCTGGATTTTGTGGCAGGCGCAGTACTTTGAGCGACCACATGCTCCTGTGAGACCAGAAACGGCCGGAGTGTCCACGTGTGCCGGTGAGACCGAAACCACGTGCTCCTGTGAGGCCCCCACCATCCCAAAAGGTCCGCGAAGACACTTGTGTCATACATTGTGTGCCGCGAAGCCAATTCGCGTAGCCTGGCAACATGGACGTAGGCGAAGCCACTTTGCGAAGCCACTTCGTGGTTGGAGTGTGTTATGTGCTTTCATGGCAGTAGCGTGCGACAGGTTCATGTTTAGAATCACTTTCAGATGGTTGCATGAAGGCCATGACAAGACTATAGGAAGATTACAGTCAGATTGCCGGAGTATTATGGGAAGACGACAGGAAGACGACCGGAAGAGCACTGTGCGTTTCAGACTCAGTTTGCTAGAATGATGGACCGATTTGGAGAAGCCTCTGCGGTTCCCCCGCAAAGCCTCCGCAAAGCCACGGTGGTCCAACTTCCATGCTGACCCAGCCATGTCCCCTAGTCCTGAAGCTCAATGTCTCTCGTGCCGCCTTTCATCGCCCCCTGTTGCGTAGACTCAACTTGATTCAACTGCACGCGAAGCCAACCTAGTCCTCTCAGCAGTGTATAAGCCCTGAACCTCTAAACAAAACAATGCTCACTTGCTCAGCGGCTACGAAGGAAACCACACCGGGCGATGGGATCGATAGGCCTAGTGCGCGCCTTTGTGCGGTACCACCACGTGCAGTCCACGATGAAGAGGCTGGGTCCTTGACGTTAGGGGCTTGGGGTTCTTTGTTTGAAAAGCCTACACCCCGTACACCCCTGACACACACACACACACACACGCAGAACATACTTTTATATACATACTATGTTGTACTCCTATGACTATGAACATGAATCCTGTTATTCATCATTGTGATTACCAGTAAAAAATATTTACCAGTATATAAACATGCGTGATGAGCCATCTTTGGGGGTAGGGCCGGGCAGCACCTCGCCTTGAAGACACGGTGCGTCGTTGGCACGCCCAACATCATGGAGTTGAGCAGTAAGGAACCCATTGGAGGTCCGCCCGCTCATGTTTGTTTTTGTGTGTGTGTTTTTTGGTGGTTTTTGTGCGGCCACTTTTTGAAAGGGGTGGTTTTTGAAGGGAAAGCATTTGCAAACTGGAGCTGCTTTCATCAGGCAAGAACTTGATGCAGAGTGAAGCCACACGAATCGAATGTGAAGACCGCTAATATGTTGGTAAAACTTTAGGCCTGGTAAAAAGAGACCTAGCCATCGGAGCCCAACTGATTTGTAGGTATAGATATGTATACATATATATATATATATATCATTTGCCCTCCCGAGGAGCTTCTTTGTAGATTCTGACAAAGCCCAAGTGACTTGAGCTTTTGAGTTGTAGGCATTTTGCCATGCACGAAAGCGCATGGATGAACCGGAGCGTCACCGCAGCGCGCGCAGAGCCAAGCTTTACCTTTGCAAAAGACCCTCGCTGCGAAGGCAAGCAGTCGAGTGAGTTGGTAGCGGAGCCAACTGTGCTCCTTAGATCCTAGGCCCCGCGCCATGCCGCCCAGCCTTTGGCAGATGGGAAAAACGAGGACCCCTTCGGCCAGGTCGGATGATGGCAACATTCTCTGAGCGAGCCTGGCAGGCCTGAAGGCCCTAGCCCTGGGATGTTTGCACATGTGCAACCCGCTGGTGAGGCCCGCGGCCCGGACTTTGGCCTTCCCTTCAATGAGCCCCAGGTGCCTTTTCAGGAGCCTGTCAACCCGCCGGTTGCGCAGCAGAACATCGCCCGAGATGATGAATGGAGGTGCCGCCAGTGTCATGGCCAGGACTACCTCTTCCAGAACGGGCAATGGCGCTGCCCCGGTTGTGGCTTCGACGGCTTCTACCTATACCGCCAGGACCCCAACTTCGGTGGCTACTGGCCACATCCACCTCGAGGGCACCAACCAGATAGATCACGCACCACTGTATGGAGTGCATCCCGGACCTCCCATTCCTCCTTACCAGGAACACGGCGAGAGCGAGGCGCCCACCAACGACCCGACGGCATCCCTGGTCGTGGACGCCAACCACGACGTCGACGTCGAGGACGAGGCCCTGGACAGCACCCACACCAAGAACCCCGCGAAGAACAAGAGCCCAATCTAGAGATCGATATCCCCGAGACCGCCTCAGCAAGGCCAAGCCAGACCTCCTCAAGCAAGAAGATCGCCGACGACAACTGGACATCACAGCACGGGCCACGTAAGGGGCTGAGGTTTCGCTGGCACTACGACAAGGCCTCAAGGCATACCGCAAATGGGAGAAGCGTGTGCGGATATGGGAACTCCAGATCGTGAACTACGTCCCCCGCAAGGAGGCCGGCATCTTGCTCTTCAACAGCCTCAAGGGCGAGCTCGAGGAAGAAATGGAAGACGCGCCCGTGGACAGTATCTACTGCCCCAACAGGCACCAGAGAACCGAGCGCTCTCTGCTGTCGGTCGGCATCGAGGCTTGCCAGATGTATGATGCCGAGAGCAGAGGGGCAAGGTTTTTCGAGAGGAGTAAACTATCTCATGAGCTTCAGCGCCAAGTCCTCATCGGCACTCAGCAGACGCTCATCTTCGACACCGTCAAGGACGTCTTGCTCTTCCAGTACCCAGATCACCGCCCGCCACCTCAGATCATGGGTGCCTTCGGCCCTAGAGACGACGCTCCACGCCGTGATCAGCATCCGCCGCGACCTCATCGGCCATGGGGCAAGGGCAAGGGCGACTCCAAGGGTCACAAAGGAGGAGGCAAACCAGACGCCCGACAACAGGTCTACGCTACCGAGACCACGGACCTCCCGAACACCGACAACCAAGAGGACGTCTCCCTCGAGCAGGAGGAAGACAACCTGGGAGGACTTTGAGGATGATGAGGCTCCCCTGAGGAGCCCATCGGTGAGGACACCTTCGACCTGGAGGCCGACCCGGACATCCAGCAGATTCTCACGCTCACAGCTCGCAAGCTGTCCGGCATCGTTCAGGCCCGCAAGTTCGGCAACACCTCATCGACACAGCCACCACGCAAGTCCATCGAGGACAGAAAGCGGACGTCACACTGCGCCGCATGCGGCCAGCCTGGACACTGGAAAGGTACCGCCTCCAGCACTTCCAAGCCCAAGGGCAACGGACATCCGGCACCATCCAAGGGACAGCCCTCTGCACTACGGTGGCCGCGCCGAGGAATCCAACACGGACCTCGACCACCACAGCCACCAGATTTACATGATCTCGAATCACGTGCCTGTGCATGAGGTCAGGCTTGCCGACGCCACCAAGGCGGCCGGCTACGTGATTCTGGACACCGCATGCCAGCGCCTTTGCGCCGGAAACAAGTGGGCAGCCGCTCACACCGAACGCCTCCAGAACCACCGCCTTCAACCAGTTTGGTGCCCCAAGACGGAAATGTTTGAGTTTGGAAAGGGCTCCCCCATGAAGTCCAACTTCGCGATGCTTTTTCCCGCCTTCATCGCAGATTCCCTTTCCATCATGGCCCCGTGCATCCTTGAGGCAGACATTCCGTGTTTGGCCAGCCGCCCTATGTTGACCACCCTGGGGGCCATCATAGACCTTGCCAGCAACCAGATTTATCTCGAGGCCCTCAACATAACCACCCCACTTGCCATTGTCAACGGACACATTGCCATCAATGTGCTTGAGGTCAAGTGGAGGAGCGCAAGTGTCAACTGGTGGAGGCAGCATGAGGCTGAGGTTCAACAACAAGCTTCGGACGGTGACTTCACTGATGAAGTGCACGTGCTGAAGCTTCCTAGCCTCAAGCCAGGAGGCGGCACGCCCGACCTGGAGCCCGATGCAACACGATCGGCCCCTTCCACCGCCATGGCTTCAGGCATGGAGACACATGGTTGAAGGTGAAGGCCTATGCCCGCCAGGCAAGACGCTTCATGAGGGCACTGCCAGAGGAGGTCACTACATCCACCTCCTCGAGGACCTCACTAGGGTCTCAGACGGCACGAGGCTACACCAAGGACACCAGCACCGGCACGATCACACAGGCTCCCATGTGTGCAGTTGGCGGGCGTGCGCGCGTGAGCGGGTGTGCTTACCAACCAATTGGCTGGCGTGTGTGTGCAGCGCGGGTGCGCAGTGCACTGAAAAACTGCGTTTTGACCCACGGCGGAATATGAGCCGTGGGCCAACTACTTAGTAAGAACCGCGTTTTGCATGAGGCAGGCTTCCGACAAAGAAATGATCAAAGGTAGCCTTCAATAGGTTTGAGTGAGGCCAACTTAGTGATTGACTTGTTATGTCGTTAGCAGTTGCCAGTGTCTTCCTTTGTTGTGTGTTTACTTGTTGGCTTCATGTGTTGCCTTGCATTGCCTTGTATGTACGGTTGGGTGAAAGTAGATGCTGCAATTTTCCTATGTTGCCTTCATTCCCTGACCAGCAGAAAGAGAACTTTCACCCAACTGTCCCCGATACTTTCCAGGGTAAATAGCTCCTGTTAAGTCAGAAATTCGTTTGGGTGTATCTTGCAGCCGAACCAGAAGGCCTTTTTGGTTGGGTTTGCAAAGGAACCACCAAAGGGTGGATCCGCAAAAGCCCAGGGCACTGATAGGGTGCCCATGTGGGCTTTGTCGTGGCTTTAAAGGGAAACAAGGCCATGTAGCTCTTGCTTAGCCCAGGAGCTACATGAACCTTTGGGCTCTCGAGCTGGGCGTCACTGCGTGGCCGCCAGAGACCGGGGTCCTTCGAATTAAGTTGGGGTGTACAGCGGGAGGGTTTAAGGGGGGCCGCCCGTGTGTTCATTTTGGGGTGGGGTTTGGGGCAGATTTTTTGTCACACGTTGGGGGGAAGGGATTCCCCTGCATGCCATGTGGAAGGAACATGAGCAATTTTACAAATGCCGTGGGTTTGTGGTTCCATTACGTTGAGGACTGGCAGGTTCCTAAGCGCACGCTGTGGCAACCGCTTCGAAAGGGCCCTCTTGGCTTCAGGGGTAGATGGCCGCTTTATCCCGCGGCTTTTGCATTTCACAATTGGAAGGACGTAGGCGCTAAAGGGGGCCCCCTAAAACAGATTAGGCTAGGCATTGATCTTGTTCTTGGGCTCAATAAGGGTTCTCCAGTTGTTTGGGCGCCTTTTGGTTGCATGTTGGGATTGCTATCAACAAACAGCTTGGTTACAAAGAAGTTCTTCGGGTACCCCGTGCAGATAGCGCCGGTTTGGTTTGTCAGGGAAAGGTCGCGGCCATTGGGTCAAGGCTCGAGTCACTTGTAACCACTAGAGGTAGCACCCGTAGGTGTCCAGTTCGTTTGGTTTGAAAAAGGTTTGTTCCACTCGTTTCGACGAGCCAGGATGAGAGAAAGATAGAGAGAGATAGAAGGAAATCAATAAAGAAAAACGCCACCAGGTTGCAACGGCTTCCGGAAGCATGGAGCCAGCGAGACCTCCTCATCTCCAACCAATTGGATCGGACCGTGCTAAGCACGTAAGCGCTAGCAAGGGACCCGCAAAGGGATGGAGGTTCCTCTCTTTCAGGCCATTTGATGCGAGAGCATGCAAGTGAAGATCACTGGCAACACATTTGTAAGGCAAGGCCTAAACAAGTGGACTCAGATTGTGGGGTACTTTAAAGCCGGATTTAGCCATGATCCTAATCGGTCTAACTATTTAGCTCCCTGTGTTACACGGGTCCGGGAAATGGAAGGAAGGAGGGGAGAGACGTGTGATGCAAAATTGGCCACCACTTTTCCAGGGAGAAGTCATAAAGAAAGACTGATTCGTGATAACCTGGAACAATCTATTCCAGTCCTTGCATGTTCCTTTTGGTTTAAACATCGAGAAACATCGCCTTTTGAAGGATGTTGTTTTCGGAACCCCGTTGTTCGTCGGTTTCCATGTCAACAGCAACCAAAAGGGGTCAACCATTTCGAGAAACTCCCAAATGATGACCGGGGCTGATCTTCACTATGGTGTCAGGTTTCGACCAACCCTGTTGTTCAAACCCAGTGATTCACATTTGTTTGGTTAATAAACCAATGGGTCCCACCCTTTCACTACCTGGAAGATGGCTGGCTACTGAGAAGACCATGTTAGTGACGTGATAAAAACGAATAGTGGTTTTTTAAAACCCACTCCTCAACAGCTCAGCTTCCCTGCAGTTGGTGGTTTGGTGGTTTGATGCCCTCTACCCCCCCCAAAAAAAAGGTATTCTAATCTTCAAACACGAATCCAAACCATCAGCGGGGAAACTGAACCGTGGCTTTGCTTGGGATCCAGGGATCGAGTGGAAAGCGTCAGCTATAGGCCCTGCTATCCGCGGGTCAGCCTGCCATGCTGCTGGCTATCGGGCCGAAGCCTCAATGTTTGAGATTGGAGCCAACGGGGCGAATGGGTTTGGTCCAGCGTCCTGCGACGTAGTATTGACATGGCTAGCTGTTGTTTCCTCGCGTTGTGTTGTCAAGCTTCAGGTGGTTTGTTGGTAGGTCTCTTGTTGATGATAGTTACGGCCCCGAAACAAATGAACTTTTGTTGGCCTGTACATGCAGGCCATGTAGGGGAACCTGTCCTGGGAAGAGGCTTTCCTGTTCAAGCGGGTGTTTTTTGTTTGGGCTGGGGTTGAAGGGATGCCAAAGGGAGCCAATGAAATTGGAGCTTGTGCTGGCACTCAACCAGGGGTGTTCAGTTTGTGTTGAAAACCCCAAACCCAAACCTGGTTGTTGACCTCCATTTTACGCTGTGATTTGGGTATGGGTCAGAATTGGACCACGAGAGGAGCGCAGGTCTAGTCCTTGTTTCCATTTGCCAGGGTTGCATGTTGGGCACCTATTTTGGACCTGCACCCATTGATGGGCGCAAAAAGCAACTTGACGGTCCAACAAACAGAGTCCCTTACATCAAGGTTCCCAAAGGCGCAATCCCTGCAAACGAGAATGTGACCCAAGCTTCCTCATAGCATTCGCCAGACCACAATCCTTTTGATGCTACACGTCAGCTTTTGCTACATGTAGGTTAGAATCTAAACATTAAGTTTTTGGCAAAATCTGAGGTAGACCACGCATGCAATTGTTGTTTTCCCACAGGGCAAGCGCCTTCTGGTAGACGTTCGGGACCCCGTTCGGTTGTGGGTGGGTCAAAGTGCAAACCCGGGGAAACCTTCACTGTTGTTGGCATGATGGTTTTTATTTTGTTTTTTGGCTTCTGTTCATTTTAGTTGGGGGCTGCGACAAGATTCTTGCTACCATACCAACGGTCGGAAAGCTCCATTGAAACAACAAGTTCCAAACGGGCGTGATCAATATGTCGAACACCTGACGGGATCTTATCCCTGTTCAACTAGAAGGTCTGCCCAAAGCACTGAAGGTCCACCGATCAGTCCTTGCTGAAAAACAACTTAGGTAAAGCTTTCCAACAAGGCCATCACCATTTCGGCTATCCCGGGCAGGGGGCTGAAGGCAAATGTCTTCAAATGTGTCTATATATAGTTAAGTATAAATATGTATATATGGTCCCGTGTTCCGTGTTGCTACCCCCCCCCCCCCATATGGTATGGGTCCCCCAGGACCCCCCCCCCCGCGGCCCGAGACCCCGAGCCCCCGGATCCTGTCACCCACCCCAACCCCCTGAACTCGCACCCCGACACCCCGGCACCCCCACCCCCAGGACAAGCCAACCCATAAACCAACCCTAAACTAACCCTAAACGAACCCTAAATACCCCCTAAACCTAAACCAAACCCTAAACCGTAGACCTCTAAACCTAAACCAACTCTAAATCAACATAAACCAACCGTAAACTAACCCTAAACTAACCCTAAACGAACCCTAAATACCCCCTAAACCAAACCCTAAACAATAAACCCTAAACCTAAGCCAACCCTAAACCAACCCTAAACTAACCCTAAACCAACCCTAAATACACCCTAAACCAAACCCTAAACCGTAAACCTAAACCAACCCTAAACCAACCCTAAACCAACCCTAAACCAACCCTAAATCAACATAAACCAACCGTAAACCAACCCTAAACCAACCCGAAATACACCCTAAATATACCCTAAACCAATTCTAAACCAACCCTAAACCACCACAACCACAACCACAGGACCACAACCACAGGGGGGGGGGGGGGGGCTGGCAACGCTGTACCATATTATATATATATATATATACAGATGTGGGTAGACGTGCGCGCATACATATACCCAACCATTGCTAGATGCTCATACGCATGCCCCTTCGCTACATGTTCTCATTACACGCGTGCATCCTATGTTTATGTTTCTTGGGCGCCCATCTAGAGATCTGCTTCCAGGAGGCCAGCGCCGATTCGAGGCCGGAAGGGCAGCTGAAGGCCTTCCTGGACCGGGCCATGAAGTTGGGGCCTCAGGCAAAGTGCTTCGTAGATGGAAACGCCGGAGAGAGATGAATTCATATGAATCAACCGGGGTATTTTTTTCAGCTGGGGGTGCATGTTTCCTGGTTTCTGGGGACTCAGACCACTTTTGGGTCAACATGTCTGTGGATGGACAAAACATGTTTTTGCACTTGCCAGTATTCATGGGGTGTCATCCATTGCAGGACTTTGTCCATCCACAGTAGGAAGTTGCAGTTCGCACATGGACTCGCAATTGTGGATGTGCAAACTGTACCTGTTGGTTGGGTGCACTGACTGATTGTGACTTGCTGTAGTAAACCAGAGTAAACCCTTGGATGATTTTGATTGGGGGTGTCCGGTGTCCCCTTTTAAAGGTCCATCACGTTTGGAGGGAACCTCCCCTACTATTAGGACGGTCTTACAATTCCGGGGTCAACATTACATCCGAATGACATCATTTTTTCACCGGGTCCCTTACCAGAGAGCTAGGGCCAGCTAAGAGATCTTCTGGACCAGCTGGTTTCGAGGACCCGCTTGTAAAGCAGGTGGCTTTGGACGTATGCTTTAAGAAGCCTTTCAATCATGGCACTTTTCCTAGCCCCCCCCCAAACAGACCACCCCCGTAAAAACACTTCCAAGAATAGTCGGTGGTTGCGGAGTCCCTTGCGGGGTGGGATGCAAATTCGAACCTCAAACAAAAAAATACGCCTGTGGAGTCTCAAACTACCCCGTATTTTTGGAGCAAAATGTAAAACAGTATATTGCATTCCTTGTCAAAACACATTTGTGGTTAAAAAAAAAAAAAAACACACACACACACACACTTGTTCATCAGCAGTTTATTTGACTGAGTTTTCAAGAAAAACGGTGTTCTTTGGACGTTGTTCACTTTGCAGGGCCTGCTTGACAGATGCAAGTGCAAATCAAGTAGCGGCGTGGAAATCATCAAAACGAAGTTGTCCTTAGCCCAAGACGCACGACACACAAACGGGAACACACCTTTCATGTATGTGTGAGAAAGGCATTCATAAGTGGCAGAAGTTAAAAGGTTGCCCCGCTGCTTGCTGCCCAGCGTTGGAGCTGATCATGGAGTTGCAAAGCATCCAAATCAACTATTTCCTTTGGACGCGCGCAGGTGGCTTGGCGCACTACAAGCCAAACTGATGTTTAGAAGTGGGCTGCGACAATGCACAGAACCAACATCCATACCAGGATTGCTTTCGCAGATCTTGTTGTAGCGCGATGGGAGTGATTGGGTAGTTGTCCACAGCTTTGTGCCCTTGGGCCGCGTGCTCGAAACTGCTTTAATCTGCAAACGAGGACGCCTTCAGCAAGCTACTTGCTAGACTTTGCAAATTGCAAATATGAGTATGCTCAGTTTTGCCATGCCTCCTACATGGTCAAGTTCAAATGTTGCTTCAACGATACTGCGGCTCTCTGGCTAATGTGACTCAGCGCACCATGTGCCATTTACCCTTAAAGCCGATGCACTGAAGCAATATGGGGTTTAAGGCTTTGCTTACAGCCACAGTGATTGTTTGAGGCACAATCCACTATATAGTCCGGTAACAGGCAAACTTGCAAGTCGTGCCATTCTGCGAACCGTAGCCTGTCACTAGTTTAGCTAGTATTGAACGGTCGTTCCAAGTTCCGGACGTAGACCATTAAATCATGGTCGGGGACTCCCAGGTAAATTCGTGAGCGAGAAATGCGGAATGCTCGGGAAAAGGCTTGGCGAGCGGAATGGGTGCGGAGAAGCGGACGAAACCGCGACAGGGTAGACGGACTGACAAGATCCGGAATTGTTCGGAATAGCGTGCACGACTGGACTGGCGGACGCGGTGCGGATAGGCGGACAGGGTCCAGAAGGGCGGACACGGTCCAAACGAGACAAGCTCCAAACATCCTTTGTTTGTCCAAAGTATGTTTGTCTTTGAGCGGTCCAAGGGGGTGTCCGAAACGCTGCATTTTGGCGTCCTTTTAGCGGAAACCAGTGTTCGTCCCCCGGATCCGTCCAGAGCTAAATGCCATTGTTTGAAAAAACGTAATTTGTTTTAGGCCGTCCAGGTCCCGTCCGCCCGTCCAAACCCCGGTCCACCTACCCGGGCTCCGTCCTCGTGTTTGCACCCAATCCGCTCGCCAAGCCTTCTTCCGCGCATTCCGACTTTTCTTACCCATACTTTTTCCCAGGTTCTCGAACGTGCTTTAAATGGTCTATGTTCTGCTGAACTGCATGCCTTGCGAGCTTACCTGTCGCAACATTATAAGATTGGCCAAACAGTCCCTTTGGCTGTAATACTGGAACATTGGGTGTCTTTGGGCAGGTTTGCGCTGTCAAGAAAGCTTAAGCACAACATGCTTGCTTTGGGACATTCTTTTAAGGGCAACTGGCTCATGTTGCGCTGAGTCAAAGTAGTCAGGGAACCACACTTCAAGCAACATGTGAACTTGATCATCTAGGAGGCCAAAGCTGCAAAGTATAGCAGGGCTCCTTAAAAGATACATGTTGCCAAAATTTGAAACCACCATTTACAAGGCAATGTTCAGGTGTATAATGTAAGGATCCTTAGGAGATAGCTGAATGACCACCTTGCTTGTGTTGTTTTTGTAGATTGAGGCAGTTTCTCGCACATGGCCCAAGGGCGCAGAGCTGTGGACAATGGACACTTCCCGTCGCGCTACAGGATCCTGGCAATCGATCGCCCTTCTCTTATTGTTGCGACAACAGTTTCTCATTGAGTGTTTGCCTTGTGAAAGTAGGGTGGCTGCGCATGACACTGTTGTTGGCTGTGAAAGGCCGGTTCTTTCCGTGAAAGTCCGTGTGACTTGTCAAAGTCCGATGCAATTCACACACTTTGGTTTAGTCGTTCCCCCAACTTAGCACAAGGGAATTGTGCCATCTACTTTGAAGGTTTCAGTTGCTTTCCGTCAGCAATGTCAAGGCGTCCTTAGGCTGGGTTTTTGAGCTTGTGGCAAAGCTGCTTTTGACTTTCCACTGAATTGGCGATTCTGTATATAATGGCAGTTTGGGCTGAGACAAGCATTAAGCAAGTTTCAGTGCAAGCACCTAACCATAGGTGTCTAGTTTGCCGAGAAATAGATGGCTTTGACTGGCTGAGATTGCTCACCTTGTCCCTGGCAGACTATTGCGAATAGACCCCTTGTTCGACCCAGGCCTCCAATGGTGTCTGGTGTTCATTCCTTGAAAAACACTTCCCTTTTCCGGGGGGTTTAAGCGTCATTTCGCCACCAAAATGTTGGAACAAAGTCAGATTCCTACCAGGAATCTAGAGTCATGCGCATCTCTGTGATCCTTTAAAAAAGGGGTCATGATCCGTGTTCCTACCCGGGTTGTACCCTTAAACCAAAAAACACATAGCGTGCTCGACTTGCAGCGCTCCTGCTTCACCCCTCGCCGAGGGTGGTGCATTGGGGACCGACGCCGAGCAGGCGGTTGAAACTCGGACGATTGTCTCTTTGCGGGGGACTGGAATCACAAATCAAGGCACATAGTCACATAGGTGTCCGTTGTAGGTTTGTTTGGTTGAGAACAGATGGCATTGGTTTAGATGAGCTCCATTCCATGTGCCAGGCGCATCTACTTTTCAGAAGGTCACATACGTCAGGGTAGGCTTTAAGAATTCCTGACATCGGGAAATCGAAGTGCACTCAAAGATTCTGTTTATCAATCTAGATGTGTGTCGTGTTTCTTTTGGTTTTGTGAAATATGGTTGCCGGAAAATTTAACGATCAAACATTTTTGGGCATGGCAACCACTGTTGTAGATGCCGCAGGCGCGCTCAGGAAGAGCGAAGGCGAGGGTACCTGGATGTTGTGTGGGTATTGGGGAGAAGCTAAGGGAAACTAACATTCATAACCACCCGGCGGATTTCAGGGTGTTGGGTTTTGGGGTCTTTTGTGTTGATGCTATGACCGCTATTCGGTTTAGCTTGCTTTCCATCTTGCTGGTTCCCAGTTAATGACCCAGTGTGTTGGGAGTCAACCGGAAGGGGATCTTAAAAGGAAGCCACAAGGGATTGGTTATAGAGCTCATTCCCACATTCCCTGCCACCGAGCCAGCAAGCCATGTTGCATCGACGAAACCAGCCGGCCCCCGAGCCTAACGGAGTTCGTTGGGCAGGCTGGTGGCCAGTTCCAGCGTGAAGCCGGGCGAGATGGAGTCGGCCCCCGCAGGCGCATTTGGAACATGACCCTCTCAACCACAAAGGGTGGAGACGTCCCACCACAAAATGGAACCCGTTACTTTGGGTTCCGTTTTGACATGTCTGAAATAAAGGCCGGAACAAAAAAAGAGGAAACGCACCTCGTGCTTCCGAAGAACTGGGCTGTAATGTTGACGGATAATGTCAAGCCTGCCGATTCATCTGGTGCTCCCCCCGAAAGTGCTGCATGCCTTTCCCCGATGAATCTCACCGGGGGATCATACATGCTGGATCAAAATAACCAGGGAAACTGGGACAGCATCACCTTAAAGAGAATCCCTTGTAAAGCAGGTGGGTTTTGGTGTGCAATCGTTCATACTTTTAGTCACCTTTTTACGGGGCTAGGGAAGCCAGAGCGTGTGCAACCCAGAGATTTTGACGTCCCATAGTTTCTTCTCAGACCAGAGGTGTCAAGGGGTTTGAGGGTAGGAGCGCCTTATGTTTCCCACGGCAAGGGCGGGAGTTTGCTTGGCCCTAGTCAATGCCAGTGAAGCTCATGTCAACTCTGGTAGGGGTACCGACCAGAAGCCAACCAGCCTGACACTCCACAAAGCCAGGGCTGATTATACGTACACCTCGGCTGATTATACACCAGGGTAGGGAGGACAAAACCAACATGGGATTGTGCCTCATCTCTTATGAAACTGCAACAGCCTAGTTGGAACATCGATTCATGAGACATCGGGAGCTCCTCCCACGTCCGGCCCGGGCGCGAGGTGGTTGCTCTTGTTGAGGTGAAGGGTGCCCGTTTTGGGTTGAAACAGAAGCTTGCACATGCACAACAGAAGCTTGAATCTCCCCAGGTGTCTTCGTCTTGTTGCGTGTTTGTACTGTATGTGTGCGCAGTTGTTTCCTGTTCGCTTCTTTTTGGTTTTAAGTTTACACATGGTCTACAGTTTGTGCACGCCTGTGATGGAGGAGCCGGGGTTAGCTTAGTCAGGTGCGCCGCTCACACAGCTGGGCCCCCAGCCCCGACCTAGGTGCCAAAAACTCAGGCCGACCAAAATAGGGTCCAAGAAATGGGTTCCAGCCAAATGAAAGGACAATGCGTGTAGCGCCCGAAAGAAACGAACTGAAAAAAATGGAATCCATGGGTCAGAGCTACCTGTGTTCCAGGGGGCTTGTTTCAGCTTTTTCCTGGATAGGGTTTACTTCGAGTCCCCGCTCAGCTTCCTCGGCAGTCAAGCTGTTTGTTCCTCCGGCAAAAACCTTCCTATTCGAGTAGGTAGCCAGGGTTCTTCGTACTTGGATTGGGCTTGCACTGTTGGTGCTTGCTGAGGACAAAGAAAAAACACCCCCCCAATCTAAGGTACGCAAGCACCCCCTGCGGATTCGAGCCATTGATCCCCTGAGTGCCGGAACACTTCGCCGTTTTCCAGAGGACTCGTTTTCCCAGTTGGATGAAACAAGGACCCTTCAAGCTCCTCGTTTCCTTTGCGGCTTGAGTTGGCTTTGCTTCAGGTGTGTGGCGGGTCCCATGAAGGGTCTGATCCAGGCATTATTTGGACCTGCCACAAATGCGGGCGTGATATGGATGAGAGGGCGGCGATTCCTCCCAAATTCAATCTGACAATGTCAATCCCCAAGTTGCGTTCTGTCCAATCCTTCCAACCGCTGTGGATGAACAAACCTTGCGCCAGTTGGGATGGATGACATCCTATGCATGCTAGTTGACAAACAACCTATTTTGGTGCGAAACGAGTCTTGTCCATCCGCAGTAGTAGGGGGTGTGTGGAGATGTTGTTTGCCCCACTTGATGGATAACTACCCGCAGCCAAAGCCGCCTTTTTATAGAGGATGCCAACCCCCTCACTAAAAAAGGATGCATTTGTGTTGAACAACAATCAGGTTGTTTTCTTTTGTGCACCCTTAACTTCAGTGTTCTTGGTAAGTGTTGTGTGTTCTTTTTTTGGTTCTGCTCATTTTGGGCAGGGCGCGATGGAAGCTGCAAACAAACACAGCTTTTTGCTACCCTGCCACGGGTTCTGAAGTCAAACCTGTGAGTAGTTGGAGTGATTCACTTCCCAAGTTCCTAGACTCTAAATTTGTTGGGTAGAGCATTTTAGTGGTAAACAAACAGGTTTCTAGGGGTTGATTCCCCATTCTTTTCAGCCATCGTTCTTTTCAAAAGCCAGCTGTTTCCCTTGTTTTTTGAGGGTGTCCTGAAAAGAACGAAGGATCCCTGGAAAGAATGGAAATGGAAGGTATGTATGTACCCCTAGAAGTTTGGGGACGTTTTCCGGGCAATCTACTGAGGAAGTGGGGCTAGGTCCCCCAATAGTGCCCTTTTACCAACTTTTTTGGGGGCGGGTTCCCCTACTCAAATTGACTACAGAAAAAAGTTGGCACCGGTACCCTTATTCAAACCTCTCTACTGGACCTAGGAGGAAAGGGGAGGTGTAGGTCCCGCGCGGAGGCCAGGCGTGCTGGAGGTTGCTGAGGTCTTCCCCCGCTCAGTGCGGCCAGGCGGGGTGCGGGCGGGTTACACTGGGGCCATGGGAGGCACGGGGGGGGGGGGGGCGGAGGGGGGAGGGGATCCCTTGAATCAGGACACCCTGAATTGGTGGCTTGGATTTGAAGCCTTGGTTGCAATCAGGCTCGTCCAATAATTAGCTATCTGGTTGGATCTTTGAACTTTAGGTCGGATTTTCCATTGGACCCACAAGAAGTTGAACCATTTTCTCATGTTGTTTTTCTTCAGAGGGGTCAACAGCAACCAAGTTAACATGTGGTTTGGCTTGGATGGTTTGAGGATTTGAACCGTCGGTAAAGGGGAAACCACCCGCAACCCGAAAACACAAATTCAAGCCACCTTTTAGAGGCTGATTGTATTTGCAAAAAACAATTGTTGACTTTTTGACCTCTGGCCAATGTGGGGGGGCGGGGGGGGGGGGTTGCATGGGGGGAAGCCCCAAAACACGTCCTAGAACCCTGCTGTCAGCTTCCAGGCTTCCATACGAAATGGGAGAATTTCGTCCGATTTGGGAAGAGAACAGTTTCAGCCGTCAAAACCAACAGTCATGACCCATGGGCCGTTCAGGTTGTCAATGGCATTTGATGTTCCTCCCAGCACTGAGCAAGGCTGTGCAAGAAGCGTGTCCGCACCAAAATATTTGGTGAAGGTGTGCTGTTTGTTTGAACATGTTCAGTTGCGGTTTGATGCGTTTTTTTCGGATGCTTTAGTGGTGAGTTGTACTGGCCGAATTGGCAAAATGATGTTCTTGTTGGGCAAATCGGTCTTATTCGTTTGCTCTCACCAAGCACGCACTTGGAAGGAACAGGACAGATGAAGGTCTGGTTGTTTACTGCACCCCTATGGATGATGCCCACAGTGTGACAGAAACACCCAAGGGTTATAAGCATCTTCCATAGGCGGTTTGGCCCGGGAATCCAAGCAAGAACTCATGTTTTTAGGGCTCGGTCTGTGGGACTTGGGCCCACTCCTTTCGGAGGCTCTAAGAAAATGAGGATGTTCCAGACTATTTGTCACAATGTCAGAGCTGTGCATATGCTGGCCTGACAAGGCCAAGAGAGGCCGACTAGGTAATCTCTTCCTACCTAGTCAGCACAGGGCTTAAGGATAGGCCGTTGCATTGGGCTCTGAGTGATGCCGAAAATCTGTTTGCGACCTGTAAGGTGGTTTGCTCAACCCGGTGCCTTGCGGGCTCGGGGCCGGGGGTGTCAGCTGGCCTTGCCCAAAGGACATCCATTGTCCTTATGTGTTTGATGTTGGGTTGCTTCCCCTTGTGTGATGTGTTGGTGAGCGTAAAGGGAACAAACACAGTTTTTTTTGTCTTTTCTTTAAAAGAAAATGGGGTGCATGGACAATGTAGAACCTGGGCCTTCAGGTTTCCGTTTGGGGTGGGCTAGCTTGTCCCCTTTCCTTATTGAACGAATGGGAATGGGTCGTGCACTCCATGTTCCAGGAACGCGTGCGCACGGAACATGGAGCCCCAGGGGCGGAACACTCAACTGGTTTTGAGAGAAATTCAGGGGTTGCCATTTAGACCCTGGGCTTGCCGCTCAGGATTTGGTCATTTTTGCAATGACTTTCCAGAATAGGAGTTTCTCAAATTCATTTAGTGGTAAAACAAAGTAACTCTTGTTTGGCCAACCCACGGTCGCAAGCAACACACACTTTTGCGTTTTTGTGGGCAATCCACGCAGAAAGTGAGTTTCACCTTATACAAAACCCAAGCCCACAAAATTTAGGGATGAATTCCCACCTACCCCCCCGCCCCCCCCCAACAAAAAGGAAAAACACACTCAAACAAATCGAGAAGACACAACTCATTAAGTCGGCCGAAGTCCATCCGTTTCCTCGCCTCAGGCGCTGGTTACAACGGCAGGGACTGCGTGGACTTCCCTCGCCTGGCAGAGGTCCCGATGAGAAAAGAACGACCCACGTGACCGCCCCGCCCCGGATGAAAAGATCTGTAGGGCGTGATCCCTCCAAAAGTGGTCTGAATCCAACCACTGGAAGACTCAAAAGGGTCGAAGTGGCCGATTTTGTTTTGCTGGTTTTTTTTGGGAGGGAAACCGACAAGAAGACCCACCATGGGGTCCCGAAAAGACACCAGGTTTTGGATCTCCTTCACGGGTTTGCTCAGATGCCGCGCCAGGTTCTGATTTTAAGTGCCCTTTCCAGAGACCCAGTGGCTTGCTGCCCTTACCTTTTGGGATGCCAAAACTGTTTGGCCAGTCATTTTGGGGGTCAAAAGGGAAAGCAACAGGAAGCCGCTCATTTCGGGGGTCCGCTCTAGTACAACCAGAATGCAACTTAGGGCGAGTAGGGAAGATCAGCGCAAAAAGCGCCGCATGGTTTTTTTTCTCAAGTCGACCCGGTCTGGGTGAAGGGTTGGTTGGCAGAATGAGATCTGGGCTTCGTTGTTTGAGGGCGTCATGGCTTCGAGAGGTAACAGCAATTCGATGAGTGCCTCGGTTCCTGGGTCTCGCTCGGTGAATGGTGATGTCTTTTTGGAGGGCACCCATGTAATTGAAAAGGACAATCACAGGAAACCGCGCATTTGTGGGTCTCCTCAAACCACACACACACAGACACCCACACACACACACAGACACACAGACACACAGACAGTGACACGGAGACACACACACACAGACACACACACACACACACACACCCACCCACCCACCCACCCACCCACGCACGCACGCACGCACGCACGCACGCACGACCGCCCACCCGCACGCGCACGCGCACGCGCACGCGCACGCGCACGCTCACGCGCAGGCGCAGGCGCACGCCCACACACACACACACACCCACCCACCCACCCACCCACCCACGCACGCACGCACGCACGCACGCACGCACGCACACACGCACACACGCACACACAAACAAACGCGCACACACGCACACACGCGCAGGCACACGCACACGCGCACGCGCACGCACACGCGCACGCGCACGCGCACGCACACGCACACGCTCACGCACACGCACACCCACACACACACACACACACCCACCCACCCACCCACCCACCCACCCACCCACCCGCGCCCCGCGCCGCCCCGCGCCCGCGCCCGCGCCCGCCCGCGCCCGCGCCCGCGCCGCGCGCGCCCGCGCCCCCGCGCCCGCGCCCGCGCCCGCGCACGCACGCACACCCACACGCACACCACACGCACACGCACACGCACACGCACACGCACACGCACACGCACACGCACACGCACACGCACACGCACACGCACACGCACACGCACACGCACACGCACACGCACACGCACCCGCACGCACGCACACGCACACGCACCACACACCCACACACCCACACACCCACA